GAATGATAAAATATGAAATCCTCAATGACATTGCTTACTTTTTAAATATCGACCTAGACGTGCTTGAAAACGACAAAATTAGCTGTAATAAAAGGATGTAAAATAATAAAAGTAAAAGCATCAGTAAGCTTTAAAAGAATCACCAGATGTATTTAGATTTTATTGCATTTCCAATAATTTGTTGTATTATCGTAAACCAATCCCATCGGTTTATTTTGCTATGCATTCGGTAATATTTTCTACGTGTTTGATGTCTTTTGGTTTTAGTGTGAGCCATTGCACGTCTTTTACTAAATACTTCAATTTTAAATTATTTTAAAATGAGTGATGAATATTACCTACCTTCGACTTCTAAACGAGGTAGGTGGGAAACTCCTTAGTCAATCTCAGATGACGAATTATAACACATATTAGAAGGTTCACGTGACGACAGTGACTCAAGTGATGTATATTTATATTGTGATGAAGATGTTCGGACAAACGATCCTAATTTACAAGAAGAATCTGAAGATGACGATGGTGGTGACGATGAGTCTCAAGATATTTTTGAATGGTCGTCAGAGGTTTTTTGTTATTGTTATTTGTAACAATACCAGGATTGAAAATTAATGTGGGTGGCAGCAATCCTATTGATTACTTCAATTTATTGGCATGTGAATTATTATATGACCTAATTATTCAAAATAGCAATTTATATGCCGTTGATATTCTTTCTCAAAATAAATCTGAGAAAAGTAGAACTGCGGCTTGGAAGGATATAGCTGTAGAAGAATTTAAAATTTTTCTTGATTTGTTGTTGTACATAGGAACCATAAAAATTAATCGTATGAATAATTTTTGGAAGAAAAATCATTTATTTAGTATTCCGGTGTTTGGACAATATATGAGCCAAAATCGCTTTATTTTAATTTTCCGTGCCTTACATTTTAATAATAATAGTGACAATAACCAGTCCAGACTTGCCAAGATATCTTTATTGTTAAATTTTTTTTAATAATAAAATGAAGAATCTTTATTATCCACAAAGAAAATTAGCCCTGGACGAATCTATGATTTTATGGAAAAGAAGACTTAGTTTTCATTAATTTCTCAAGGGCAAACGACACTAATATGGCGTCAAACTGTATACTTTGGCAGAATTTACCGGGATGATTTAACGCATATTAGTTTATAATTAAACTAGTGACCCCGTAGTTGGAGGACGTAATCATACGGAAAAAATAGTGTTAAATTTGATGGATTAGAAACTAAATGTTGGTCACTCCTTTTACATGGATAATTTTAATTACAGTGTTCCATTGTATAAAAAACTACTTTCGGTAAAAACTTTTTTTACAAAAATATTGAAAACAGGAAGAGCGGAAAATCCACACGAAGTTGTTTCTCGAAAATTTAAACAAAATGAACTGGTGACTGCTTACAATAATAAAGGGATATGTGTGTGTAAATGAAAAGATCAGCGGGATATTTTAACAATCTCATCTGAATTTAGTCATAAAATGATTCTAACAATATCTATAATAGAAAAGAAAAGAAATTGATAAAGAAAAGCCCCATTTATTTGCTGAATATAACAAAAAAAAGGTGGCAGTGACTTGGTGAAAAAGGTGAAAGGAGGCGACCAGGTGTTAAATTATTATAGTTGCGAACACAAAACTATGAGGTGGTACAAAAAAATAGACATACATATTTAACAAATGATGCTACTCAACGCATACTATTTCTATAATAATTCTAATACGAAAATGCCCTTGTACGACTTTCGATTGTCGGTGATTGATAGTCTTTTGGGACCAAACCCAAAAATCCCTCAAGTCAAGAAAAATTTAACGTTTCATTTGCCACCCCAATGCCCTAAATCAGCGTATTACAAAACAACGATGGAGTAAATGTTACCAGCAAACTAAAAAAAGAAAGAAACGACTTATTCTTTTATTGTGCGGAGTGCCTTGAACGTCCGGGATTGTGCTTAGAAAATTGTTTGAGACGTTTTCATGAAGAAATTGAAAATTAGGTAATTAGTTTGTTTTCTTGATATTGTTGTAATTTAATAATTACTTATGTCCATTATCTAGGTTTTTAATTATATTTTTTCTTAATCAGATTATTATTATTTGTTCAAGTTCAACCGACACAATTTTCTGTCCTGTGGCCACCAACGAGACTCACGCGGTAAGTTTTTTTGTGACCAAATTAATATTTTTTTTGTACCCATATTTATTATAAATGACTTTTTAAAGTATACCTTAAAAATTAATTAGATTACACAAAAACATTTCAGTGACCCACGGATTTCCCTTAAAAAAAAAGGGCCGGAGCTGAACCTGTTAAGTACAAACATATTGTTAATTTTACGAAATTCTATACGACTACTTTAAAGATGGTTTTTCTTTCTATTATCTAAGTATTTTAAATTAAAAGACAGAGACGTATTTTCTCTTAGGAAAAGATATATGATTTGGTGTCGTCTGGATCGCTGTAAAGATCCTGCTGCGTTGCCTGGATTGCCATTTAATATTAAAAATGTATCACTACCTAGAGTATTTTGGTTTAGATATGATGAAAAAAATTTTGTGCCTTTTTGTATCCAAACAGGAAATCTATTTTATTGTAGTAGGTAATATTAAAGAGTTGTTGATACAATTGAAAATCCATTATGAATCTGCTCTTTATCGACTCAGAGTAAGTTGGAGTCTGACCAAGCCTTGATTATAAGCAAATCAGCGGTTATAAGTGAATAAAGCGTTGAAATATTAGAGTTGCTCCAAGTAATACTGATATCATCAGCAAATAGAAAAATTTTTCCTTTAATTTTCAAGTAAGTGATGTCATTAATGAAAAGTTAAAAAAGAGTGGGACCTAATACTGAACTTTGCGGTACTCCACACTCAATATATTTACAACTAAAGTCGGTGTCTTTTATTCTAACCAATTGTTTCCTACCTACCAAGTAAGTTTTGAACCAATTCAAAGACACACCCCGAATTCCATAGAAAGTTAATTTTTTAATAGAATGTCGTGATTTATGCAGTCAAAGGCTTTTAAATAGTCGCAGAATACGGTGGCGGAGCAGAGGTTACTATTTAGTGATAGATATACCTCATGTAACACAGAAAACATGCATCACTGATACATTTATTAGACAAAAACCGAACTGATTTTGCGATAAAATATTATGTTTAAGCAGAAAGGGCATAAGTCGAACTTTTATAAGCCTTTCAATAATATTTGATAGTGCTGGTAACAATTCAATAGGTCTATAGTTGCAGGCATCAGATTTTTCTCCACCTTTATGAAGAGGAATAACGATGGCAGTCTTTAGGCAATTAGGGAAAATTATCGTTTTCAAGGGAATCATTTACTAGCGAAACCATGACCATGAGGGTAAAAAGAGGTTATGCCAAATTTCCTTGTTTTTATTGTTTTTTATGTCTATGGGATAGTGGAATCAAAAAATTATAGTAAAAAATTGAGAGCCAAGAATGCTTAAATTTTGATAAAATAATTTTTGCCAGAAAACTTCGCCAGACCTTATGAAACAATTTGACAAACTCTCACTAAAGGCAAAAAAGGTTTCATATACTTAGTTAAAATTTTTCCATGTATCTTGGAGGTAAAATTAAAATATATAAAAATTCTTATATATAAAGAAAAATATACCTTTTGATTTAAGTAAAACGAAAACATCGCTAATTTCGAAACTCCATTGTATATGTACTTCAGACGTGCAACCTTTTTTAACATGTTCGAATTCCGTGAAGATCAAAGCGTAATCAGAAAAAAACAACGATTGCATCTCGTTTGTTCTCTCTATCCTTCTGTACACCATATCAGTGGAAGAAAGGACTAGGGTACGACGAAGTATATAACGGTAGTTATATTTATTATTATAGAAATAAATTCCTGAATCCATAACTTTACATAGCAACTGTTGCTATGTAATAATTTATTGTAATAAGCATTAAGTAAAATAACAGTTTGTAACTCAAGTCAAAATACTTTTATTTCATAATTTATATTTTATTTATTATACTACTCACATAAAGACTATTGAGATCATAAAAAGACTACTGAGAACATAAAACACAAGACTATTGAGATCATAAAAAGCATCAAGCAGAGAAAGCTGGAGTATTCCGGACATATAATGAGAGGTCCCAAATATGGGTTGCTACAAAATATCATGCAAAGAAACATAGTAGGCAAACCCAGTCCAGGACGAAGAAGAACCTCATGGTTGAAGAACTTGCGAGATTGGTATGGTGTTGATACAAGCATGCTATTTAGGGTGGCAGTGAATAAAATTAAGATAGCTATGATGGTAACCAACGTTCTAAAAAGACATGGTACATGAAGAAGAAGACTCACGTAAATTTAAGTTGTTCTAGAAGTCCCAAAGGCCATTACAAATTTTATTTAATTTATACTTACATCGTAACTGTTTGTTGTAAAATGAAGACTGATCGGACAAAATTAAATTTTTATTTACTTCTTTATTATCACGAGCTGTTTTCAGAATGTAAAAGAAAGCATTTTTGAAAGCATCGTTAAGGTTGTGGCCTCTTAATTTAGTCATCAACTAAGATTTGTCGCAGAATTTTTTAATACTAGTGATATCTGCAATTTCGGTTGCAGACAAGAGGAGCCAGAGTCAGTTTTGAGTTTGATAAGTCAGAAAGCAGATACAGCCTTATTATTTTTATTCATATCTAATGTGTTTTAACAGGTTGTAAAACTTTTACAAACTCCATAACTCTACCTCTATTATATGTATAACTTTAGTATTTACCCCTTCTGGTTGTTTTAGGATACATCTGTGATGTATATTTCAATAATTTCATTGTTACAATTTTGAGCTCAAGGAATACCTACGTTAGATTTCCGAAAAAATTTTTAGATCCGTCTCTGAAACTTAACAGTTAAACAAACACTTCTAATTTTATCTTAAGTTGTAAATAATCTCATTCGCCCGATTTTACTTCGATTTTCATTCATTTATACACACACATAATATTACATTTTTACATATATATACATTACAGACAGAGCAGTCACTCAGTTACACCACAGCGTGGTTGCGTGTTGTTAGATTAAAAATAACGAATACTGTGTTGCTAATCGAGCAAAAAATACGATGGAATCTCCCGTAGTCACGGTGACCGAAGGTCAAGTTAGAGGATGCCAAAGAGTGAATTTGGATGGAGAATATTTTTATTCATTTTTGGGAATACCATTTGCTAAACCGCCTCTTGGAGATTTGAGATTTAAGGTGAGATTATATATCGATTTCTCAGTATTTTACCAAAAAGCAATATTTGTAAAAAAAGCATGGAGTAATTTCTATATTGTTTCTAAATTTTTTCACCTCTTCTAATATTTTTCAACATTTTGTTTCTGACATCTATCGGTTATGCATCTGGCTTACCGGCTACTTAATTCATCGTTTTGATAATAAACTCATTCAAAGTACCGATATGTAAAAATTTGCGATATATGTACAAGCGTTCACTTTTGATTCAAAATACTGATTCAAATTAAAAATAATAGACTAGAAACCAGTTTTTATTCTACTTTTGTCTGGACTGGCCATGGACGTATAAATAAAGAATAATAAGAATATTTTATTAGTCCAAGCAAATTGGGTCAATTTTAGTTAAAAAAAATTAATATTTTTTTGGGAATAGGCCACAATTTTACTTTAAAATTAAGTTGATTTGATGTATCGTATTCCAGTTTAGAAATCGTTCTCAAAATACTAAACAGTGTTTAACATTATAATAAAATTGAAAAGCTTATTAGACAGTTAGATTGTGTGGGAAAAAAAATACGACATTGCACAATTAGCAATTTTAAAGGTATCTCTTTCCTTTTTCTTAAATTTTTATCGTTTTTGGAATCTGATTAAATATTTTATAGGTCTTTTTAAATTACATCGTGCTGATCACTTGATTCTTAAATAAATACTCAGAGTTCAAGATTTTTCTCTTCGTCCTTGAGTGTTGAGTCTTTCAAATCGCTTTCATTTTGGCAATTTATTTTATTAATTAAACAATTTCCTTAATCACAGCATTTCAAATATAGATCGGTACATTGAAGTCCGTATTTTGTGCAGCAATATCTATAGCTTTTACAAGTAGTTTCACAACTGCTGTAGTATTAATAAATCGTATATTAATAAATAGATTTCGGACTTTTCAAATTAGGTATTTATTTAAGATTAGTTTAAGTAAATAAAATGTTATATTGAAATATCAAATCTACCTGCATTTTTTCTAAGATTAATTTCGGATTATACCACGAAACAAGTCATTAATGGTATTAGTAGAAAGTAGAAAGTAGAAAGTCCCTTATGAAGAATAACAAAGCTCCGGGGGAGGACGGTGTCGTCACGAAGCGATAAAGATAGGAGGCTCAGTACTGATAGCCAAAATTCATAAGCTCTTTAATCTATGCCTATGGAATCAAAATATCCCAACAAAGTGGAATAATTCAATAACTGTACTTTTACACCAAAAAGGGATATATAGCAGACCTGGAAAGATACAGACCAATCAGTCTCCTTAACCATCTTTATAAATTATACACCCGAATAATAACGAATAGATTAGAGACAAAGCTGGATTTTTACCAACCTCGGGAACAAGCTGGTTTCCGCCCTAATTACGGCACAAACGATCACCTGCAGTGCCTAAAAACCCTAATAGAAAAAACTAACGAATATAACCGTCCCTTGGCATTGATATTTGTAGACTTTAAAAAGGCGTTTGATACAGTGGAACTACCGTCCATCTTAAGAGCACTACAAGATTGCAGGATCGACCACAGATATTGTAATATAATTAAAAATATATATGAAAATGCCACAACAACCATAAGTCTATATTCTGCAACTAATAAAATAAAGATAAAAAGGGGAGTCAGGCAAGGTGATACCATGTCACCAAAGCTGTTCATTACCGTTCTTGAGTATGCATTTAAAAAACTAACATGGCAACAGAAAGGAATATCCATCGATGGAGAAAGATTAAACCATCTACGTTTTGCGGACGATATCGTGCTTCTGTCAGATAATCTGGGAGAGATCAAAGACATTCTCCAAGAAGTGAATGACATACTACAAGAAACTGGGCTGGAGATAAATTTCGAGAAAACCAAAATGATGACCAATATGGTTCCCAGCGAAGAGATACAGATCAATAACAACAAGGTAGAATTAATCGATAAATACACATACTTGGGTCATGAAATTGGAATAACCAGGGACAACCAAACCTGCGAGCTAAATAGACGAATTATGTTGGGATAGGCGGCATATGGACGGATGAGAGACATTTTTAAAATAAATATCCCAATTCACCTGAAAAGGAAGGCATTTAACCAATGCATCTTACCAGTCTTGACCTACGGAGCAGAGACCTTAACTTTAACGAAAGCTACTGCCGAAAAACTGAGGGTAACACAAAGGCGAATGGAGAGGTCAATGCTGGGCCTGACCTTGAAAGATCGCGTAAGAAATGAGGAGATACGCTGACGAACTGGCGTAGACGATATTATACTGCGAATCAATAAACAAAAGTGGAGGTGGGCTGGACATGTTGCTAGAATGGAAGACGGAAGATGGACGAAGAGATTATTGGAGTGGAGACCAAGAGCCGACAAGCGAAGTCGAGGCAGACCACCCACCCGATGGACCGACGACCTAAGGAGAATAGAAACAAACTGGATTGCAGCAGCTAGAGATAGAGAGAACTGCAGACGTTTTGAGGAGGCCTATATCCAATAATGGATGTGAAAATTTGGCTGGATGATGATGATGATGATGAGAAAGTCCTTGTCTGATATTTTTGTACAAAATTTTGGGAATTGGAAAGTATTGGCATGTTTGGAGAATTGAGTCGAGGATGTTTGATTGGTCAACAGAAAATTATGGAAGGGATTGAGAGTCGAGAAGGATTTTGGAAGAAAAAAAGGCTGCTGTTTGGACGGGAAAGAGTACACATCAAATCGACAAGTGTGTGTTTGTTTTTAAACGTTCTATAAAAAAATAGTAAAAATATATATTTTGTAAAAATAGTAATGTCAGTAAGTTTTAAAAGCTGATTTGCCCGATGAAAAGGGTGCAGAATTTGTTCCTTTCCTTTTTAGTTTTTCTGATAGTCCTTTTATGTATGGTATTGTTATTTTCCTCAATTATCTGTTTTATTAAAAAATGATTATCCTTTATCGTTTATAAATAAGGAATTTTCAACAATCGATCCAATAGAACAGAACAACTTAGAACGAGATCCTACAGCATACAGAAGGAATAATATGAGGAAAATAACAATACCGTACATAAAAGGACTATCAGAAAAACTTAAAAGGATAGGAAATAAATTCAACATTTCAACAACATTCAAAACAACAAACACGTTGAGATCTATTTTGTCCAAAACCAAACCTAACAATGAACAAGAAAGGACAAAGAATTGCATTTATAAAATACCTTGTGAATGCGATCAGTTTTATTTAGGTGAAACATCAAGGCCATTAAATGTTAGAATAAGTGAACATCAATCTTATATTAAAAATAGAGAATTTGATAGATCTCAAATCTGTAAACATGCATGGGATAATGAACATAGGGTTCAATGGAATAATTCAAATGTAGTCCTAAAAGAAACGAATGGTAAAAAAAGAAAAATTAAAGAAGCGGCTCTAATTATGCTAAATGAGGCCAATTGTGTCGCAAATTCCTCGGCAGAATGTAGTAGAATCTGGTTACCAATAAGTACAATATAGTCAGTATACAATTAGTGAGTCAGTAACTTATAGAGGATACATCATTTACGTTTTTTAAATAACGTAACACATAAAATCAGAATTTTGATGTTTGTTGAAGGTAAACTAAATTCACGAACAAATACTTACAATGTCGGGATAGTATTATGAGGTTTTTTCCCTCATAATTTACTATGGAATCACTAACAGGAGAATTTTACTGTCATCATGTCATGTGTTTGTCTTTTTAAAGACGAATTACATGTTATGATTTTTTTTTTCTGACGGATATTTTAAGTTAAAGTTGATTTCATGTAATCGAATGAACTATCTTATAAGTAAAGTCGTCTCAGGAGCGCAACTCAACAATATTGGCAATATCATTTTAAAGTCGTCTACTTTAAAATGCATATGTATGTCTGAATTGTCAATATAAATGAGTCAGATAAAATTAAATTATTAAAAGAATTTTTCACTATGTAACAAAAAACAAAATTTGTTTAATTTACTGTTTGTATTTTGAGAACGATTCCCGAAGTGGAAATTGAAACGTCAATAAACGTATTTTTATCTTTAATTGTGGCTTATTCCCAGTTTAGTAGTAATTAACTATATAATAAGTTGAGTTGGAATATTAAACTCTTTCACTGCATAAATCAGAAATTCTCGATGGATGCTTTCATAAGCACTCTCAAAATTAATGAAAAGATTATGTGTATCTATCTTAAATTTACTAGTCTTCTCCAAGATTTAACTCAAGGCGAAAATTTGATCTATTGTGGACTTCTGTCTGCAGAAACCATATTGATATCCCCCAACTATTTGTACATATTTGTAACTAACCATAATGTAGAAACACAAAAACTGAGTGTTTAGGCACTGCAGATAGCAGTGCCTAATTTTTTTAATGGCATTGACATTAGTCATTCAGCCAGTTGCAATCTCTAGATTCTCCAATCAGAACTGTCTGAAGTCAGTCATTGAATTGTCAGTCCCTAATTGAAAACTAACGGATAATTAATAGAAGAATATACGGCAAGGAAACTTACAGGGTCACTTACTTCTTGTCTAAAGGCCCATCAAGACATTCTTAGTAGACTAACAAAACTGGACCACGGATAAGGTGTTATAACATTTAGGGTAAACAAAGGATACAATTCTAAATTTCCACACGATCATTCGTTACTGGATATTGAATGGTGCATACATATTAAATTCGATTAATTGTATGTAGAGAGAGTTTGAATGCTGTTGAAACTTTCAAAAAAGATTTGATCAGGATCACCCAGTTTTCCAATGTTTGCAATTATTATCTTCAATCACATTTATTTTATATAAATGACTTGGATAACACGCATGTCCAAAGCGCAGTCTATTTATGGTGGTTATATATTTACGTGAAGATTTAAAATTCTTAAACCAAGTAGTTTGTGGAATAACTGGTTGTAAAGTGGTGTATCTTGATTGGTTTGTAAAGCAGTAAAGATTCCATTGATCTTTCCATGTCGATAGCTGGTTTTTTTCTAGATCCTAATGGCATCTGATACACATAAAGAATATGACAATAAGGTGCCTGATATTATACTGGTTTTAGCTAAGGTATTTAAATATTCATTATCTTTGAGTCCAATATGTGCCTTAACCCAAATAAATTTTATATTTAAGCCAGAGTCTGCTAAGTGCTTTAATTGATCTTTTATTAAAAAAATATAAGAATTAATAAATGTTTTGGGCAAAAAAGTGCTTTTTATGTTCTGTAGAACTGAAAAGCAGTCTAAAAGAATTAACGATTTTTTAATATAAGAGTTTTTAACATATTTTAAAGCTTCGAGTATGGCCAATGATTCCACCGAGAAAATTGAAAACTCATTGGAAAGTTTGTATTTAAACTCAGAACCTCCTGTGCTTAGAAAATAGACATCCGCAGACAGCTTAGCCTACAACTTTATTAATACATCTTAAAATACATGTTTAACATTTTATCTTTATTAACACATAGGCACCACAACCAATAGAAGCATGGAATGGTGTTAAAGATGCCACGAAAGATGGACAGCCTAGCTACCAATGGGATGACAAAAACAATAAAAGTATTGGTTCTGAAGATTGTCTACACCTAGGTATCCACACAAAAAAAGTAAGTGACTGTCTATACAAATTTTTCTTTGTTTATCTAGCTTTAAAATACCATAAACTATAATATAAATAATAGGGATTTAATGGTAGTTTGACTAAACTTCACTTAATTGCTTAAGAGTTTATTGTTTTTTTTTTTATATTGCATAAGAGTTGGTATAAAGGCTATAGTGGAATAAGATGGTCAAAATTGCACCATGCTCGATTTAGTTTTGGGCCTGGCCATTCGAAAGGACATAATTAAAAACTCACTCAGGTAAATTTTCAACTCCTTAGGTGCCTCTGGGGGTTCGCTATGGGAAAAAACGTATTTAAAGAAAAAAAAATTGTTTTAGACGCTGTATTGCTGCAAAAAATCTGAAAAAATTCATGAAAGCGTAGTTTAATAGTACAATACTACTTGATTTTTTTCAGATTTTTAACTTGAAAATTAAGCCAAGAAAAAATATTTGAAATTTTCAGTAATATTTTAGGTTATGTCGGAAATTTTTGGCCAACTTTAAAACAATGTTTTTTTATGGGTTTTTTCCCGTTTTTTCGAATGGCATAGGTATTATTATCATTTTCAACGTGGAAAATGCCTAAAAATCGAAAAAACTGCTTTTTTGGCATTTTTCTGAAGCACCCCCACCCCTTAACAATAAATTGTATGGGCCTAGGAACAAAACAAAAAAAAAGGTATTACATTGAAAACAAAAAATTTATTTATACTGCCATAAGATACAATAATATCAGTTTTTATAAAATAAAAAAAATATTAATAAAATAAACATAAATTAGGTTTTTTAGTGAGATGGATGACTCATAACCTTACCAACATACATCTAAATAATGATAATTCGTATTTATATATGTATTCTTACCTTTACAAACGAAACAAGCTATTAAAACTATTATTTTTTTCCTACAGGATGCTAAAAAAAAACGAAAAACCCCGTTTTTTCGGCGTTGTTTTTAAGCTTTCGCAATATAACCTCTAAAGTCAGTGTCTAAATGAATGGTAATTTACATTTTCACATGTATCTTTCCCTTTACAATCACAATCAGTTATTCAAAGCATTAGTTTTATGTCACAGCTTTCTGAAAAACCGAAAAACCCCGTTTTCTCCATGTTTTTACTACATAACCTCAAAAGACTCTAAAAAATAAATCGTGAATTAGAACGCACTTGTACACTCAAAAGTTGTGGAATTATAAGCTAGCGAATATATCTACATATATACGTGATCTTATATCACAATGTACATGCATTTACACACAAACGCATATCTATATAGTTCCATGACTTTTGAGATCCTTGTTATATAAATTCATAAGCTCGTACCATGCTCGTCCATGTCTTACTTTTCCGCGTATATACAAGAGCCTTATACCCATGCTTATATTATTTTTATTTTATTTTATATTTTATATGTACTTAACTGTTTTTGCCTTCATGTCTTAGCCCGACATCCCGCATATCCAGGGAGCCTGATTGTAACAAAAAAGATAGCGTTGATAGTTGCGCCACACGGTAGTTGATATTAGGCGGCGCAACTACCAACGGCATGTATAGTGTATATGATATAATCAGGCTCGCTCGCATTATAATATAATTAGGGCCGTGTGTAGGGCCATATCCTCTGTATCGCTCTTAGTCAGGTTGCGTGTTAGGGCCTTTATCTTTTCGGCGGGGCTTTTCCTCAAATGGTCAATAGCTCTCTGTTTTTGTGTTTATTTTGAATTTGACAGCAGAATTGTGTCCTGTCTAAAATAACAGGCAAGAATAACCAGTATTATTGTTTTATATTGTGAAGCAACAAATTCTTTTTTTACTATAACGTCGACCCTATGCATTGTGGTTATTAATTGGTCGGAGGTTAATAGTAAAGTAAACATCATATGAAAATTCACGAGAAACAAGATAATAAAACAATAAAACTATATTAAATTAAATTAACAACGCGAATAATACAAATATTTACTACAATATTTTAAATTGTAACAATTCAAATATTATATTTTAAATATACATGGAAAATTTGATGGGTTTAGTATACACTTCCACTATTTAGAATAATTCTTCTTTTTTTCAAAGAAAGAAGTCTGCAATAGTAGTATACTTGCTTACAAAATATGCCCTAGCTAAGCGAATAGACAATATCATCATTAATTTAGATGTATGTTGTTAAGGTTATGAGTGATCCATCTCACTAAAAAACCTAATTTATGTTTATTTTATTAATATTTTTTTTATTTTATAAAAACAGATATTATTGTATCTTATTGCAGTATAAATAAATTTTTTGTTTTCTATGTAATACTTATTTTTTTTTTGTTTTGTTCCTAGGCCCATACAATTTATTGTTAAGGGGTGGGGGTGCTTCAGAAAAATGCCAAAACAAGCAGTTTTCTTGATTTTTAGGCATTTTCCACGTTGAAAATGATAATAATACCTATGCCATTCGAAATAACGGAAAAAAACCCATAAAAAAACATTGTTTTAAAGTTGGCCAAAAATTTCCGACATAACCTAAAATATTACTGAAAATTTTAAATATTTTTCCTTGGCTCAATTTTTAAGCTAAAAATCTGAAAAAAATCAGGTAGTATTGTGTTATTAAACGACGCTTTCATAAATTTTTCAGATTTTTTGCAGCAATACAGTGTATAAAAAATTTTTTTTCTTTAAATACGTTTTTTCCCATAGCGAACCCCCAGAGGCACCTAAGGATTTAAAAATTTCACTGAGTGAGTTTTTAATTATGTCCTTTCGAATGGCCAGGCCCAACACTAAATCGAGCATGGTGCAGTTTTGACCATCTTATCCCGCTATAGCCTTTAGTCTTAATTTGCTTTAAGGTAAAAATTATTTTAGATGAATTCATGTTTGCGGATTCTCAGCTTATTCTTCCATATCTCCTGCCCTGCTTTTTCTGCGTACTTCGTAATAAAACATCTATGTAGATACTTTTATGCCTTCTAATTCTATAAAATTGTTAATACAATGTCTTCTACTATGTTAAATACAATGTTCTTTAATTTACTTGTTGGTTTTATTAATTTTTAAATTCGTTACATTTTTTACATACTTTTCTTAAAAAGGTACTTAGAATCTTTACAAGATTGATTTTTTTTACTCTTTAATTTATGATAACATGTTTATTAAAATAACATACATATCATTTTTAGCTTCCATCTAACGAACATTCCCTTAAACCAGTAATGGTGTGGATACACGGCGGAGGATTCATTTTCGGTTCAAACAGTTCGACTGAATATGGACCCGAATACCTGATGCTTGAAGACATAGTATTAGTATCTGTTAATTATCGTCTCGGATTCTTAGGATGTCTGAATTTTGAAGATACTTCCTTGAATGTGCCCGGTAACGCATCACTTAAAGACCAACTGTTAGCTTTGAAATGGATTCAACAGAATATTCATCATTTTAATGGTGACCCTAACAATGTAACAATTTTTGGGGAAAGCGCTGGGGGTGCTAGCATACATTATCTTATGCTTAGTCCGTCATCCAAAGGTCTGTTTCACAGAGCTATTCTGCAGAGCGGTTGTACGTTCTGTCCTTGGTCAAGAATGACGAAACAAAACGTTGGACTGCAGTTTGGACAAATTGTTGACCAAAACGTTAAAACGGAAAAAGAAGCGCTAGAAGTACTACGAAAGTTGCCTGCTGATGAGTTATTAGAGGCACAACAAAAGTTTAATATAGTAAGTAATAGAATAACCTATATATAAATAACCTACTAGCTTAACTTAAAGGGATTAACACGAAATATTTTACTTATTCCAATAATTTTTCTTGTTCATCTTATTAAACTTAATAGTTCCATTACTTTACAGCCTTGTACAGTTCTTTTCTCTACTTTCATTTCGTGAATATCAAATGTCATTTTTAATTTGATGAAACAGACAGATACATTTTTTAAGGTATTCATAACTTTTTTGTAGAAGAACGCGCACACAATATAGTACGTCTCTGGTTCCTAAGCCATCTCTAAACCCAAATTATCTGTCGCATCTTCTGCTTTCGCATAAAAAAATATTTCCTTACTTATTTACTCCGTTGCATTACAACCCTTTGTGGGTTTTAGCCGATTTGACAACATACCTGAACTGTTTTCTGTCTTGAGTAACCTCCATCCAATTCTCCACGCCCATAGTGCTTAGGTCACCTGCTATATTATCTCGCCACCGGAGACGAGGGCATCCTCGTGGTCTCCTTTCAGTTGGAACTTCCTCCCACACCAGTCTTACTGTTCGTTCGTCAGAATGTCTTCTAAGGTGTCCTGCCCATTGGAGTCTTCTGGACTTTATTTCTTTTATGATGTTGGCGTCTGGGTAAAGTTCTTCCAGCTCTTTGTTAGTTCTTATTCTGTATTGTCCTGATGCTTCATCCAGCACAGGACCAAAGATTTTCCTTAGGATTTTTCTTTCCCAAACACATAGTATCTCTTCGTTTTCCTTTGTTATCGTCTACGTTTCGCTTCCATACATCATAACGGGTCGTATGATTGTTTTATAGACCTGTATCTTCATACGTCTTGTTAGTTGTTTTGATTTTATAAGGTTTTGGAGGGCCAAAAGACATCTGTTGCTGACCTAAATCCTGTTGTTTATTTCTTGTGATCCATTATTGTCTTCAGTCATTGTTGTTCCAAGATACTTGAATTCTCTAACGCGCTCAAAGTTAAAGTCATTGATCTTGATGTTTTGCACCGATTCTGTCTCTGCTTTGTTTATTTCACCTCATATGCTTATTATATTTCGTCTCTTGTTTTCGTTGATTTGGAGCCCCATCTTCTCTACTTCCTTCTCTAACCTCACGGAAGTTTCCTTCATCCTTAATCGTGTGTTTCCTATTAAATCGGTATCGTCTACAAATGCCAGTAGGCATTGGTTGTCAACCATCAAACGATAGGTTTATCTGTTTTGTGCCACATGTATTATAAAAAATTTATTAAAAATCCTTTGTAAAAGGTATATATTTAGACCCAAACGGGCTAAGTTAAAATGACAAAACGTTTTCGGAATCCATATTCCATCATCAGGGTCTAAGAGTACATGAATGTAGCCACTAAATATGTGGATAAAAACCCGTTAACAAATAATTAATTACATTTAGATTACAAATTTTCTTATAATGGTTTAGGATGTTAAAGTTACCGTTGGATTAGGTAACATGGCGACATATGACTCCACGTTGAAGTTACTAGTCTTGAGACAGTGTGTCTACGAAGACTGTATGGGAGCAACTCTAACGGGTTTTTACCCACATATTTAGTGGCTACATTTATGTACTCTTAGACACTGATGATGAAATATGGATTCCGAAAATGTTTTGTCATTTTAACTTAGCCCGTTTGGGTCTAAATATATACCTTTTACAAAGGATTTTTAATAAATTTTTTAATATATGGTATACAGCCAACTACAGGAACGTAGATTCCTTGTGGACATGTATTATGTTCGCAGCTTCTGGTATTTGAAACCATTCTCTCCAGTTTCTCAGCCAGGATTTCTTCTTTCTGCCCAATTCAATTTTAGTCTGACTCATAATTGAGCTACAAGAGGATTATGATCAGAGTTTATATCAGCTTCAGGATATGTTTTGGCTAATATTATTGCGATAAGGAATCGTTTGTTAATTGTTATGCAGTCTATTAGATTTCTAATGATGTATCCAGTCCTGTCCTGTGGTGACCTTTAAGTGTACAATATTCTTAATGGTAACTTAAACCAAGTATTAGTGGTAATTAAGTTTTTGCTCCTGGCAAAACTGTTTTAGTCGATTACCTCGCTCATTTCTTGTTCGCAACCCATACTTACCAACTACGTCACTGACTTCGCCTTTTCCTAGTTTTGAGTTAAAATCTCCCATTACCATGCTTATGTCTTGTTTCTTTAGGTTTTCTATGATCTCATACAATTGTTCGTAAAACTTTTCAACTTCCCTATCAGTATTCTCAGATGTGATACCATAAACCTTAATTATATTTATGTCTAGAGGGTGCGCACTTATGTGGATCAACATGCAGCGTTCTGAATATGAAATAAAATTCTTCTCTGCTACCTAAAAGAAATATTGTTGCATCCTTCTTCTCGCACTTACCATTACCTGACCAACTTATTTTACTCTTCCCCAGAATATAAATTTTGAGCCCCTTTATTTCATTAATTGCGTTGTTTACTTTTCCAGTCTGATAAAGAGTTCTTACGTTCCATTAAGCTATCTTAACAGTATTTTTTCTGATATTTTTTGTTTTATCCAGTCACATATTTCCCACGTAAGGCCTGGTACCCACTGTTGCGTGGCCGTTCTCTGATTTTACATCGTCCAGCCCGGGAACTCGACACCGCCGGTTGCTAATCGGGTCGCATGGCATATCATCTTTAAATATGCTACTCATCATGATGGTTTTACTAGGGATATATAATGTGGTAGTGATCCCGTGGCTTTCCACATCCTTACGTCGTTGAATTTTTAATAGTTTCTCTGCCTTCGAAGCCGATTTCTCAACTCCAGGACAAAAGAGTGTCCTACCGCTTACCAACTCATCCGCCCGAAGCCGTTGGTCAGCAAGTGGGAGATCGCTTATACCGGAAATCACTCGGTATTGGGAAATTTAGAAGTGTACGAATGGGGAGCGCCGCAAGTTGCGCGGTTTTTGTGTAGGGTGCGCGATATGTCCATTCTCAGTATGCGTCGATACAGCTACATTTCTAGAGCCGCTAACTTCTTTATAGTTGCTGCTGTTAAAGTCCAACCTTCTACTCCGTAAAGTAGCGTAGAGAGTACGTAGCATTTCGTGGCTCGCCATCGGAGGTTAACGCTTAGGTTGCGGCTGCTTAAGAGCTTTCTCATGAATTTGGATTTTGCTATTTCCATTCGGAAGGAAAGATTGAAGGTAGGCGCAGCATAGGTAGGAGAAGAATGTCGTGGTTGAGAAACCTTAGGGAGTGGTTTGCTTGCACTTCCATACAATTGTTCCGAGCGGCAGCCTCCAGGGTCAAAATTGCCATGATGATAGCCAACCTTCGTAGCGGAGATGGCACGTGAAGAAGAAGAAGATTTCCATTCGGATCTTAATCTCTACGTCTGGGCCCCACTTATCATTTACTATATATCCCAGATATTTAAATCGGTGTACTCTTTTAATACGTTCGGCTTCAATATTCAAGTCGATATGTTGAATGTTCTTGTTACTGATCACCATAAATTTAGTTTTCTTTTACTTTTTATAGATCTTCAGTCCATATCGGTTGCCAGTTGTATTTACTCTATTTAGCATCATCTGTAAATCTTCGATGTTATCGGCTAGTATAGCAGTATCATCTGCATATCGAAAATTACTTATTGGTACGCCATTAATCTTGCTGCCCTCGTTGTACTCTTGAAGTGCCTCTAGAAATAGTTGTTCCGTGTACACGTTGAAAAGCAGTGGCAAAAGAATACAGCCCTGTCTTACCCCTCTCGAAATGGTTACGTTTTCACTCACCATATGTCCATTCTTCATGTGGGCTGTTTGATTCCAATATAGATTTTTTAGAATCTGGATGTCCTTAGTGTCAAGTTCTGTAAAATGTAATAGTTCTATGAGTTTGTCATGTTTGATAGTATCTAATGCTTTCTTATAGTCGATAAAACAGGCGTAAACATCTTTCTATTGATCCAGGCATTTTTGAATCAACACTTGTATTGCAAAGAGGGGCTCTCCAGTTCCAAAACCGCATCTAAAACTGTGTTCTAATTTTGCTCCCATTCTGGAATGAATAATACGCATGAATACTTTAAGGGTGTAACTCATTAAACTTATAGCGATATTCACTACATGTCTTAGAATTAGATTTCTTGGGAAGGGCACAAATGTAGATTTCAACCAATCCGATGGAATTTGACCAGTATCGTATATCTTATTAAACAGTTCCAATACTACATTCAGGTTGTTCTCGTGAAAAACTTTGAAAAATTCGACTGGTATTTCATCGCATTCCATTGCTTTTCCATCTTTTGTTTGATCAATAGCTGTTATCACCTCACTTTGTAATATTTTTGGTCTATTCAGATTAAGCGTGTTCGTAAAAATATGACGAAAATCAATAAACAATTGAAGACTACAGGGGAAAAATGCTATAAGTAATTTTTTTAAATTTTTATAAAACGCCATTTTTAGATTCAAAATTTCCTAATTCATAAATAAACATGCTAAAACACTATTATATTGAGTATTTTACAACTCATATATACAGATTATGATATTATAAAATTGAAATTGTCATGTACAGTAGGTAACGAGAGAAATTAAAAAAACAACCAAAGGTCTGAAGGAAAAAGGCAAAAACGCTGTAATTGACAAAATAATATAATATGAATTCAACGAAAGAAAAAAATAAGCAAAACTAGACTTGTTTAACTTAACTAAAGCTAAAAACATTAATATTATCTGTTAAATGAATCAATAACATTGTAAAATTCTTAAGATAAAAAATAAGTCAGGTTTTTTTAGCTGATCAAAATACATTCTTCCTTTTTCTGAACAAAATTTTTGTTAAACTTGGAGATCTTTGTATTTTGCCATTAGAATGGGCAGTGCCTCAGTATAGGATCGAGAAGAAAAAACGAATTCTTTTCCAATATACGGTGTTCCCTACCAATCACTTTTTTGTTAATGGCAGCCGAAACCATTGTTCCATTGTAGGTGCCTCTGAAA